TATTTTGCCGTTGATAAGAAAAGAAAACGATAACATTTGTTTCCACTCTGTTAGGAACATCTATTTCATGTGGATAATAAATGTGAAAGTAAGAAAAGAAAAAAAAAATGTTTGTGGTCTTGTGGTCAAGTGGTAAGGTGATGGGTTTGTGGCATTTAACACGCTTCAAGTTCGATCCACCTGTTACGTAAAATTAAAAACACATTGGTTTGGACACTCACACGGATATAGGTTTTTGTTTTTGGCCCATTTACATATCCGGAGAGAAGATATATTTGTGGGTTGCACTTCTTCCAGAGATTAGTCTGGATCTTTTTATAGGTTTATGATTTATCCTGAGTTGTAAAAAAGCAAAAATTATAAAATGGGAAACAATAATTTTACTGACATGTTTTGGTGTTGGAGATAAGGTCCCATCTTCATTAATATTCACTGTGTAATTCCACTTGTTGTTTTGCATTTGTTTTTGTCCTCTGTCCATTGTTTCAAAAGTCAATAACCACACACAGTTGTGAATTCACACAACATTAGTGTGAGTGTCTGACTTCTTGAAAAACATTACTATTGTTCATTTTGGTTTCCACGATTTACTTCAAAATTTACACAGAGATATAATTCGAAAAGGCTTTTGATGAAAAACACTGGTCGTTACTTATTTGAAAGTGTAATCAGCGGCTTTAAATTTCGTTGGTATATTCACGTGTGTTTTCTCTTTATGATTTTTGTTGTTTACAATTATTTGCGTTGTCTTTTTGGACTTCTCTCGTGAAGAAAAAAAATCAGACGAATAGGAAGGCACGTGATGGGCGGTGGGATTCCCACGTGATCGGAGGAACAACATTAATGACGTAGATAATGTGTGTATATATAGGGTCTGATTGGTGACTCCGTTTGAAACGAGCGGTTGAAAGTTTTTGGGCGGTTGAATAGTGGGTCGTTTGCAACAAGGCGGTTAGAATCAGTGGTTAGAGAAGGCGGTTGAATAGTAAAGAACAAGTTCAATATAAGCTTGATTGGTAGCATTGTAGCGGTTGAATAGTAGAATTAGATAAAATTATGTAATAATTTTTTTTAAATTATTAAAAAATAATTTAAAATTAATAATATAAATTATATGTAAATATAAATTATAATTATTCATTTTGAAAACATTAATCAACTACTATCTACGATCAGTCCATAGCATATCTGCAATTTGATTACAAACACTTCAAATTGTATATTGTTAGAAGTAAAGA